GATCCCATCCCGCATCTGACGACTAATTTTAGATCCCATTTCCAGATTTGGCGGCTAAAAGATTAAGTTACAACTTAGTTCGATTAACTATAAAAGGGTGTTTTTTAAGCTATAATTTATTTGGAATCAACCTCAAAGAGGGGAGTTTACGGGAGTGTTATAGATAAAAGCAATTTCTTGTTTTTGAGCTATTAGGCCTAGAAACTTCAAATTTGGTACACTATAATCTTTTTTTTTATTAGAGTTCCGCCAAAAGCGGGTTTTGAAGAGATTAATTCTGAGGGTTACGTGAGCTTAAAAGATAAATATACTTCAATTTTAGAAATTCAAGTTTCGCCCTTTTCATTTTAAGTTGCTATTGATATATGATTGTTTTTGAACGCAATAGAGAGCTTAAAGTTTGTGAACTGAAATATCAGTAAATAAAAAATAATATATAGTCATACAGCATCATCAAAGAGCCAGCGAAGTGGATGGATAGCGGTTGTGAATATTTGTTTCTTGTGCTTTGGCGTCGTGCTGTTAAATTCAATTACAAAACTTTGCCTTTGATTTTTATGTGTCTTAAATAAATTTAACCACAAAATCCCAAAGATGATCCTTATCATTGAATGTACGTGTTTTCTTACAAGCACAAAATAGTGGAATAAGTTTTATAGTGGATAAACTAAAGGATATTATAAAGAGGGATATTATAAAGTAATAAATGTTACAAAAATTATGTTTGCTTACCTCTTTTTTCTGTTCCTCCCTCTCCTCCTTTTTTATTTTTTTTTTAAAATAGGTTTATGAATATCTCTTTATTTAACCTTTAACAGTTTAAGCGGCCAATTTTTATAACAAAAATTTTCCAAAGAAAGGTACATATTGCATATATTGCATATATTTAAGCAAAGTACTTAATAGAATGCAAAAATGGAAGAATTTTATTTAATTTTCAATTTTAAAGTTTTCCCACTATTTTTTATTTTGTAATTGTGGAACACAAAATCCTCTAAATCTTTGCTTTTTATAAGTAAAATCTGCATGCTGAGAAGAATGTTTCATATATCCAAAAAGAATTTTTCTTATGCTTACAAAAATTTCATGCTCTTGCTTCTTTTTCAAAGGGTTCAAGATTTTGTATGTGTGTGTACATATATGTATGCACACACAATTTGAAGTATGGTGTAACACTAAGTCTTACATTGCAATGAAGACAGAGATAGTATCAGATTTTTTGGATTACCTTTCCATTTTCATTTCTTCTTGAAGGCATTGCCTTGTTGATCCCTGTTCTTTTTCGAATATTTTCAAGAATTTAAATTCCTGCCTTCAATGAAAAATTCCTATCATCACCAGTAAAACAAAATCCTGGATCAGAAGTATTTCAATACCACGGACACACACAAAAAAACTACACTAACACTAAAAATCTCAATATAAGAATAAAAAAATATGTGCAAATCAAAGCTAGAAAGGAAAAAATATCAATGCCCGTACAACGTGCGGACAAACCGGTTGTGGCTAGGTTTCGATAGCCCGGTGTACGGGCAAACCAGTTGAGGCATTAATCATTATTTTACCATTGGTTTGAGAGCTAATTAATTGATATTTTTCCGGTTATAGTGATTGTGATGCCAAACCCTTAAACCGTGCCGAACTCTGCTCAACTAAAGTTCCATTTCGTCCCTTGACCAAGGTTTAAAAAGACGAGGTCCTACCCCAGTTGTTTTTGCGAACCTTCAAAGGGCAAAGTTAATTAAAAACAAATCAATATATGAAAAAAGACTCAGAATTCATTATATACTTGGCAAAAAGCTTCGAAACAAACAAGCAATTAACAGTAGCTAAAGTAAACAATTTTGCTTAAAAATTTAATATATTTAGCCTGTATTTATCGATTGTGTATTGACTCCACAAGATGCAACAAGAAGGTCATGGATACGGATATCACAATTTTCGAACCATGGTAAAAATGAGAATGACTCATGAGCTGGCATCTCCACTGTAACGTTTACCCACCATGCAGAAGCAAAATAGGCTTTCCTATGCAGATAACATTAGGCCACTCGTATCTACCCTTGCACTTTTTAAATATCGAAGGATGCTTTCATCTGACATCAAGCTGACAAGCAATGGCCATGAAGAAAACAACAGTTGCATTTTACCAGCGAGTCAAACTTCTAGTGAAATTCAAGGTGTAATAAGGGAGCGCCCCACCCCAAGAGAATGGAGAGAGCAAGCAGCTGGCAACACTCGAAAAGAAACGTTGTGTTTTGTGACGTATCTATCCACGTCCTTCCATTAACCCTCTTGGGAAACCTTTGGGCTATGAATATCAACAACCCTTTTCTGAAGAAGAAACCGTGAAGTGCAGATTAAGTTCAGGTTTGCGTGCTAGGAGTTAGATAATGTAAGACAGAAGTTGGAGAGATAGATGGAAAGGAGTTAGTAAGTCAGTGTGATATAAGAGAGATAGAAAGTTAGAGTTATAGAGAGGTAAATAGTTATAAGAGGAAAATTGTTATTTAATTGAAGTTACCAAGAGATTGAAACATTACGAAGTAGAAGATAAGAAGACTATCTACAGTTCAGGGATTAGTCATATTTATAGCGCGTTTTGATATTTAAATTATTAAAGAGATTTAAGAGACAATTAGTTATATAACTACAGTTTAAATCAAACATTAAAGTAGAAGAATGAATAATTAAAAGTGGATCAATTTATTATAAGTATTCTCCAAACACGCGACTCTCGTCACTTAATCTCTGCTCTCTACTTGGAAACATCTTATTTAATCTGCTTAACTGATTTGTTTTTGAGTTAATTAGTGTGCTGAATAAATAATTAGAAATTATCATGTCGAGTCGTCCTTTACTTCCTCCCACACCTTTAGCTGGGCCACAGGATAGACAGGGTGTTACAGTTTTACCTCGTCCATCACCAACAAAATGTTATGGGTATTCAAATACTCAATAGTTTGGATAACTTGTATCTAAATGTAAATATTGTGTAATTAATCGCTGTAGACGAAATAAATCAATAATTTAATTTCTTAAGTCTCATGCTATTCACCAATTTTCCCAGATCGTGACACCATCTCCTAATTTTCACCGGACACATTTAGCGTTCCTACACTTTAGCACGATGATCTTAGGAGAAAGGAATGAAACCCTAGTCCCTAAGCTTCGGTTATACGAGTTCGGTGCTTTGTAATACATGCTCCCGAAGCCACCTTAGCTGTGTAATGGTACCTTATGCATGTAATATGTGCTAGTAAAATGTACGTCTCATATTTATTCATGCTCATCATATGAATGCGTACATTTGCATATGCAAATATATTCACATAACTACATTCCTTCACCCTGAACGTGCCTGAATTTTAACATCCTTCCTGATCAAATAGATACCAATTAAGTCAGTTTGTAGCATACGAGACCTACTCTCGGAACCCGGCTAAGTGAAGGATGACTCGCCATCCCTTTTCAACTATTTATTCAGCACACTAATTATCAACAGACACAATTCACACACACAATTATTCAAACAAGATGAGATGTTCCAATAAAGAGCAAAGGGGATTTAACTACGAGAGACGTGAATTCTCAGAGAAGACTTCTATTAAACTGATCCTCATTTTATGGATCAATTCACTACACTAATATTTGCTTTACAATTGAGCTATGGTGACCAATCGTCACTTAAATATCCAACTATTTAATACCCGAAACGCGCTATCAATGTTTACAAATACCTGATCGGTAGATATCTTTCCTTATCGTCAGCTTCTCTACATTTCAATCTCCAGGTACTCCGTCTATCTCTCTTTATTCATCTATTCTCCCATTCCTCTTTAGCTAGAAAACCTATACTATATATAACTGACCTAATCTGCATATTGCGGTTTCTTCTTCCAAATGGTTGGTCGTGAATGATAGCCCAAAGATTTCCCAAGAGGATTAGTTGAAGGACGCGTATAGATCCGTCACAAGTTATCTAAGTTCCGTATCTATGAGTTCATACATTTTCAAAAGCAAATATATTCATTTGATAGCATCCATCTATTAACCCTAAACCTGTGCACTGTGCCTGAGCTTTAATTTTGTTTCTGATCAAACAGATAACAATTAAATCTCAAAGTGGATGCTTTTTAATAAGCTTTTCTTTTTAATTTAAATGAAATTTTTATTTTTGGATCTATTTTGCATTATTCGATTTTTTTACCAGAATCAAAAGGCAGCTCTTTTTAGGTTAGAAAACCAACAATAATTGAAAATCTATCCAAATTTTTTATTTTTTTGAATCTCAAAATGTGAAATTTCAGTGAATTTCAGCCCAAGAAAATATTAGACGAAGTTTAAAGATACAACAGATTTTTTTTAAATTTTAGTTCTGTGTCGCAATAGAAAAATAACTTTTTCTCATTGAAGCTTATTTGTTTTATTCATGAAGCTCGTTGGGTTGGTTATTTGGGCAAGAGCTAAGCATTGTGTACCAAGTACACGTTAATTAATTATATGAACCGTGAGTATTATCTAAATAATCATGACAAAAGTATTTCAGCGCTATCTAGACGTAAGTCGGAAAAAAATTTTTAATTTTAATATATAGGCTATTTTTATCAGCTTGATTCGCTCTAAAAGGTTTGAAACAATATCCTTCACATATTGGAAATTCAACGGCGTTTTTGCTATTTCTAATTTCAACTTAAATTTTATAAAACTTACATAGCTATTTTTTCCTTAATGGGCTGCATATTAGCAGCTAAGCCTTTGAAGACACGGCAAATTCCCAAGTGAGAGAGCCATTTCGTGGTGGCACCATCTAGTAGTAGCTCTCGGTACCAAATTCGGACGCTTGTATTAGTTTTAGTTCAAGCTCTCGTAGGATGCTAAAATAATTCTTTTTACTCTCTTAAATTCTTTTATCTAAATTATGATAAGGGTAAGGTAATTGGTTAACTAAGAACCTAGTAAGTCGTAGGTGATTATTTCTAAGAAAAGGAATCAAAGTGTCCTCATAGGTGGTCACCCTCCCAAGTACTGACTACACTCGATGATGCCTAACTTAGGTGATCGAATGAGAACCGGTGCTTTCAGCATGTATGAAAAGGAACGAGCGAGTAAATGAATGTTAACGTCACTCTATTTAGCTACATGAGGGCTTTTGGCGATAGACTTCGAAATTTTTAACCGTGGGCAAGTGACGAGGACGACACCTGAGCTGGCACCCCAACTTCCCCATCACATTAAGGGGAGAATGTTGAACCTCGACAGATTTAACGTGCATCGCCCCCCTTCACACGGCGTGTCTTCAGCGGCACTGGGCTCGAACTCATGACCATGGCAGGCACGACGTCCGTGACCTTAACCGCTAGGCTACTGGGGATACCAGCATGTATGGAAGAGGATTCGGTAGAATATTGAGTGACTTGGAACATAAGAAATAATCTTTAAAAGTGCGAGTATTGCCTGGCAAATGAAAACAAGGACAAAAATAAAGAAAGATCGCTCGGCCATTATGGAGGACTGTCACCCTTGTTTATCAAAGGCAAACTACATTATGTAGAAGAATCAAGTTCCTCGTAGTCGTAAATTCTATCCTTATAAGTCTTTGATGATGTTCATCTCTCTTGGTCAACATATTCAAAGTTGAGAAAAAAGTCAGATGGTGCAAAATTCATGATTTTCAAAAAAGAGGAATCTTGAACTACATAACCACTGCATAAAACAGTAAAATTAAACTTAGGTAAAATCGTTAAATTAAGAAAGGCTTAAAAGTTGCAACAACGTTGTACGGTAAAAAGAGAGAGAGAGAGAGAGATCAGGAAGTCGGTTTCCAAATGGTTTTGTTTAATTAGTGCACCGCTAATTAGACAAAGTCGAGCTTATGCTAAACTTAGTGTCTTTATCCTTAAAACATTAACACGCCATTTCTTCTTTTTTCATTTGGTGAGGAAAAACAGATAATTTGTATTATACTTTTTATTATCTTGTCTGTTCACTGAGATTCATTTAGATTATATTTGTATTCAAGGAGAAATAAGAAGTGCTAAGATCGTTAACACTGCTCAAAAACACTCATTCCATTTATTCATATTGTTTTTAAAAACACAATATTGTGCTAAAGGCTGTATTGCAATTCTCTTCTTTAGCTGTAATCCTAATTATTATTTCCAGTTATCACTCGTTCTTTTGAAAACAGACATCATTATAACAGGGTTTATAATTCCGAGTTACTAGCTCAACGATATGTTGATAACCTCCCCCCTGTGGTCGATTATATTATTCTTCCTGACACGTCTTCCGGGGGCCATTTTCCAACAAGATAATGCCAGGCCCCATACCGCTCGCATATCTCTGGACTGTCTTTGTGTCGTTAATATTCTTCCATGGCCAGAAAGGGCGCCATATCTTTCATCAATCGAACATGTCTAGGTCAAGGTAGGGTGCCAGATTCGGGCATCCCAAAGTATTGCATATCTGGAATCAACAACTGGTGAATGCCTGGCACTATGTATCGCAGGATAACATTAGAAATCTCTATCACTCTTTACCGAGGAATAAAGCATGTATCGCCGCCAGAGGTGGTTCCACCAACTACTGATTTGAACAATCAAGCTGTAACCGCAAGCCGTGGAGGAGCCATATGGCCTTGGATTTTTTTTTTATCACTTTATGATCTGTGTATGAGCTGTGCGCATATTTAATTTCATTAAAAACAACAACTTCCATCCTGATGCTTCGATTTTTTCTTGCAAAAGAGTGAAAAACACTAGAAGATTGGTAATTGGAAAGGTTTAAATTATTAAAATTGAACCGGTAATTATAAGCTGCTGTTTATTTCCATCCAGCAGTAAGATTCGTTCTTTTAAAATGTAGAATATTATTTGCATAAAGGGAGATATTTAAATGTGCTTAGTTGCTATTCTATAATCTGAAGCAAAACGGCATGATTTAAATGTTGAACCAACATCCGAATTCTTATCGAGATTAGCAAATTCTGTACTAATAACCTTTGCAGCTTAAACGAGTTGTTTTCCAATTCTAGAATATGAATATATTCGAATAGTTCTCTATTTGCAATTGTAATTCACCATCAGTTAAAAAGGATGCTGTTTAATTAGGTTGCTTACAAAGATTAAGTATACTTAAATTGGAGGGAAAATTTTTGATAGGGCTTGTATTCTGTTTATTCCATTGTATTAGTAATTCGAATGCATTTCTGTGGTTAGTTTAAAATACATTTAATATTTCTAATATTTAGAGTATAGAAACAGTTTCCTGCTTCATTTTTTTTCTTTAGTGTTTACGAAATTTTAGTCAAGCTTTTAAATTTGTTTTTTCTTTTTATAAACTGAATCTTTTTGATTCTATATTTCCATTATATAATATTCATTCAAATTAGTTTACTTGATTAATGTTTACTGTTTGCTTACGCATGAAAATTTTGAGCTTAATTGTTTTTCAATCATAGCTTACACTCTTCATTTTTTTTTTTTTTTTTTTTTGCATTTTTATGAATAAGTTTTCTAAAGGAAAACGTTAGGATCCTATAAAACCAACTCAACGCTACTTTACCGCTGTGGCAGTTTTAAAAAAAAATAATAGTTTTCCATTTTAGTCAATTAATTTTTCGTTATACGTTAGTTTTCTATTTTTAGAATTATTTGAGAGCCCAGCTTCCTCTGTTTCGTAAGGTATCTATTTTTTTTCATTTAATATAATTATTTATGTCTGTGCATATATATACATACATACACAAACATGCTCACACATACACAAATGTATATGTGCAGTCGACTCTCGATAATTAGAAGTTGGAGGGAACCAATGAAAAACTTCGAATTATCAAAAGTTCGAATTATCAAGAGGTAGAAAAAAACTTCCAAAGTTTCCAAAGAGAAATTTTTTTCTAACACATTTAAATTTGAAGCTATGTGATAAAACAACAATTGTACATATGTATAAAATTATTTTAATGTATTTTTAAAAGTACATATTATACAATATAAATATTATACACAAGTTAAAAGTACTGTATTAAAAGAATACATTCAATACACATGCATACACAATCCTACGTATCTCTTTTTCACAATAGCGGACCATCCTTTTTTAACACATATGTAGCAAGGCCAAGTGTTAAACGAAAGATATGGATGGCTGATAACAGATGTGATTGGTCTATTCTCCGATTGAAAAAGGAAATAAATCAAAGTGTATTTTCGCCTGAGGAACCAGAAACACAAAGAAGGGGGAGAAGACAGATGGTCATCAAAGGGGCTACATTACAGGGGAGACACACAAAGACAATATAACGCAAAACTTGTAAGCTCCAATCTTTTTGCTACAAGATTGTACATGATAATGAGTGTTCGAATTGTCGATAGTTTTATAAGATAACTTCAAATTATCACGTTCTGTAATCTGGCCAGCCACAGATTTTACTTCGAAATATTGTGTCTACCAAAGCGTATTGTTTTAGTTCGAAATATCAAGAGTTTTTTTTAGGCACTGAGCATATACTTCGAATTAGTGAGAGGTTCGTATTATCGAAGGTTTGAATTATCGAGAGTCGAATGTATATATATACTTTCTTCTAGTCTTTTTCTGAATAGTCAGACATTCCTATCCATTTTTTTAACAAAACACTGAAATTTTATTTTGTTTAGAAAAGCTTCAGTTATTTTGATATTTTACGAATTCCTTCAAAAAAAATTTTTATTTTTTATGCAAAAATATAAAATTGTTATTTTTTTTGTCAAAGTGCATCAAACCCTCTTCATGTTAGTTTTATAAACTTATTTCTGAATTTTTATCTAAATATTCATTAGTTTTCTAAGAAATTTTTTCAATAATATTATAAACATAAATGAAACGTAATAAAGCACAAGAGAAAAGCGAAAAGTAGTTCTATATAAAAAGTAATGTTAAAAGAGCATGATTATATTTTTTAATATAATCACATACAAAACAATACTTTCCAAAGGTTTTATTACAAAGGTTCAATACTTTCGTTTAATTATTCATCTTCGTTTTTAATAATCACAACAACAAAAAATAATTGCAGGAGAAAATTTTATAGCCCGAAATGGAAATTAAACAAAAAATGTCCCGTTTCTCTCTCGAAATAAAATGTGTACAAACGCTATTGAAATATTGCAGTTAAATTTTATATTTTTAATGAAAAACCATGAAAAAGTATACACACATTTCACCCTTATATAAATTACATCATTTAAAAATTTTAAGGTCAGTTAAAAGCTCTTAATTGCGTTTCAATTTCATTCAAAATTTAATCGCTTCATTATCCATTTTCTGTGATAAGTTATCTTACTTCTCCTTTGCAAACAAAAAATATTCCTCGGAAAATCAGGATAAAAATGCTTTAATTATTATGTGAATTTCCCAAACCAAAAAAAACCTATAACAATTTTATTTTTTTATAAAAATAGTTTTTTATTCTTGATATTTACAAAATGATAAGTACTAACAAAAGAAATGAAAACAAACAGTAACACTTGAGTGAAAAGTTTTATTTTATATATTCTACGTTTATAATATTTTCCATTCAAATACTATAACACACTTTAAGGAGTAAATTAAAATTATTTTACTTATATAAAAAACAACTAATAACACTAACAGTTTCTATAGAATGTTTTTTTTAAAAATTAATATGTCATTGTATATTGAAAGAAAAGAAAAAAAAATCCTGAGTTTTTTAACCCATTAAAATCGAGTGAGAGAATATATTTTTTTCGAAAGAAAAAAATTGTTTATATTAATTAAAAATTTATTGAAGTGTGACTTTAAGTTTGCTTTTTATTTGATCTAATATAATATTATAATGTCCTTTTAAAAGAAACTCTCAAATAGATATTTAAAAAAATTTAAGTCTTAAATCTTTCTTTTTGTTTAAATTGAATAATATGCAAAAGATAAATAATGTAAACAGCAATGAAAAATATCAATTCATTATTATCCTTTTTCGAAAGAAAAAAAAGCTTCTAACTTTTTTTCCAGCGATTTAAACATAATTCTTAAAAATAAATCTTTGAAACAGTTGTAAATTCTGCAAGAAGTTATTATTATTTTTA